CAGCCACACATGCAGCCACACATACAGCCACACATGCAGCCACACATACAGCCACACATACAGCCACACATACGAACACGTATGTGGGCACGCATACAGGCACACACCACGCGCATGCACCATATCCATACAAGGCCATGGTGATGGCCATCTTCGCACGGATACCTCTCTGCCCCCTTCGCCCCAGTATACGCGCACGCACATGCACGCCCATACTCACACACACACACACACATGCATGTGGACTCACATCCCGCCCAAGTACTCCCACAAGAACATCCAAAAAAACACAGACACCGAAAGACCCTCACCCACACGCATCTATATTCGTTTTTATAAATTCATATAAACGCAAGCAGGCCTCTTCTCGACCACCCTCAGGACACTCATTGGCTTAAAACGACCTCCGCCCTCGTCGGCCGGGCGGCCGGCCAGGGCTTCCTTTCCCCTCCCGGAAGCCGGCCTCCCCGCCCTGGCCCCCGCCCGGGCCCCAACCTTCCCTCCCGCGTGCCGGGTCCCGCGCACCTGGGCTCATTACGGCTGCGGCCCCCCTTCCACCGAGGGAGGGGGGGCGGGGGGCGAGGAGTGGGGCTCGCCTGTGTCATCCTGACCCCAAACCAACCAGCGCCCGGCCCCCTTGCAGCCGGCCAACATTCTCCTCTCCGCCAGCGGTTCCTGGCCCACTTTCGGCCGGGCTCGGCCGATACCCCTGTGCCCGCTGCGCTCCGACCCGGTGTAAGCCACCCCAGGTGCCGGGGTGTTCGCCTACCCGAAAAGGACGCGTCGGGTTTCCTCTCCGCCATCGGCCCCTTTCGGCGCAGGACCGCTGGACCCCTGCCTCGGCTGGAGGCGCCCTTCCGCCAGGCCAGCAGGCAGGGGCCCAGGCAGTCGGAGGCAAGGCGCCGAGATTGTCGGCGGGCACCCCGCGCCGGCCTACCGGATGGAAGTAGTGCGTCAGTGAGATCGGGCGCAAATAAAAAGATGCCACACACGGGCGGCCCATGCGTGGCAATCCGGTGCGTCGGCGACTCTTGGGCCGCAATGGGACGCGCGTGGCGGACTCTCAGGACGTGGCGGCCGGAGATCGCAAATGGCATGTCCCCCTCAGCCGACAAGGGCGCAGGGCTGGCCATGTTGGTGCCGGCAATTTCGCCTGCCCCCGAAATGCCGCGCGTCTCTTCGGTCCGGCTGCTCGTGACGCGTCTGGCAGCTCGGCATGTGGCAAGAATGAGCCCCGGCAGCCGACAGGGCCTGGCGTGTACAGCCACTACATGAGTGGTCAGGGGGCCTGCGACGAGCCCGACCCGGATGAGTAAGGGCTCTCAATCCTCTTGCCCCAGTTGAGGCACAACCATCGAAGAGCATGCTCAAGGCCCTTCGGCTTCAGGGGACGAAGAGGGCGAACTCTATGGGTGCAGCTTGTGAGTAGTGTCGGATGTCAGTCTGTGCGGAGCCGGGTTGCAGGGGGCGGTGGCCGATGGGACGCGTACCGATGCACCAGCGGTGCCAGGGGTCCCTTCTAGTTGGGGACCAACCGCGGGCCTGAAACGATGGTTGCCCTTCCAAGGTGTTCGGCCCTGGTGAGGGGAGGTTGTATGTATCCATTTGTCGGCGAGAGTTGCCTCCGCCAAAGGGATCTCCCTCGGCAGGACGATCGCACAAAAGTGGAGAACAGCCGGGGGCCCCCGGCTCGATCGCCTCCGTGCGGGAGATTCAGCGCAGCACTGGAACGAAGTAGTAAAGAGGCCAATATCAATAGAGCATCTGCATTTGGTGTCCACGCCGCAAAATAGATTGACTTCCGATGTCACACCACTTTTGGGGAGTGACTCGCATCTGCAAACGCCAATGGCAGTCCTCGTGTGCCAGAGGGAATGGGACGAACGGTGATAGCCATTGACTGGGTCCTCGAAATTTGATGCATTTGGCGGCGATGCAACCAAGCGCAGGCCGGGCTCCTTCGGCGGATTCCCGCCAGATCCTCAAAACAAATCACCTGTGACCCGCAAATATCCCCGCTTGCTGGCGAGATCCGACACGATTTGAGGTGCCTTTCAATAGCCTTCCTCCTCGGTGGATGCGGGTCAGATTGAAAACCAGGCGGCCACCACACTCGGGCCTCTTCCGGAGGCCATACTCGGAGATGCTTGCATGCGCGGGGGTCTCGGGTCTGCCCTCCGATCGACCACCAAAGGTCATCCCTCCGCAGGGAGTCCCCCTAGAGCGTAGTCCCCTCCGCAGCTGTGTGCCGAAGAGCATGCGAGGGAACATCGCCAAGATGCCGGCTTTCCCTACCTGCCCAAACACCTCCTCTCCATCCCCCTTCCATTGTCCATTTCCCTTCCCTTTGCTTGCCTACTGATTCGGCCTCGGGCGAAGTGGCAGAGACCCTCCCCTTCAGACAACGGCATATTGTCCGGCTTGGTGCGCCCTCCCTTCATGACCAGTGTGCTTCGTACCAGTGGCAGATCCCCGATGTAGCCTCCTTCGGAATGTCGCCTCCTCAACGGAGGATTGGGTCCTTGGGATCTCTGCCACATTGCCATCCCGGGGTGGGGAAAGGGCTGAGTCGAGCGAGGCCAAGGGCGGTCCCATACGAAGGGGAAATGGGGATGGCGGGCAGGAGGGAAAGGAGCGGAGGGACTCCCTTCCCGGGAGCGGGCTTACAGGGGCAGCTGAGAACAGCCGGGGTCCGGGGATGCCGGATTCAAGCTAAGCCACATTGCCTTTCACTTAGGAGACTCTGATAGGGAGGAAATTTCTCGGGCGTGGAGATGGATGGGAGCATTTGGCATCTGTCGAGCCCACTGTGGTATGGCTCCCGAGGGGACACGGTACAGGCCGCTGGTGACCGTGGGGAGGCTCGTAGATTCCTCTCACGGCTGAATGAGACGCTGGCGACAGGAATGAGACCCTCTCGGGGGGTGGTGTGGCGAAGAGACCCTGCCCTGGGGAGATGCATTTGCAAGGTGGCGAGCCCCCAGCCCAACTGTGCGGGGCGAATATCAGTGGCGGCCGGACGGAGGTTTTACGTCTCTTGCAAGCGAGTCCGAGATTGCTGGAATACGAAAGGCAGAGGTGGTGATCAGGGAGAGCGGCCACAGCTTGCTTGGGGGATCCATTCGCTCTGTGAGCCAGAAGCGTTGGATGGCGAGTGTTTGGCGAGTAACAAGCGTCATGAGATGTCTTTTCTTAACAGTGGTAATCGTCGGGGGCCTGAGTCGACATTGTGCTCAATATTTGCCTAGACCGAGGCCGGCTGAGTGGTTGGTACATGGATCAGCGGCTGGTGGGGTTGCATTTCGCTTAATACAAAGGTCCTGATGGTTGAAGGGGGAGCTGACACAGCTCGCTTGATCGTTCGGTACCATGGGGCGTGGGGGGGGGGGGG